AGTTACCTGGCTCTGGGGGGTCCTCTGAGTTACCTGGCTCTGGGGGGCCCTCTGAGTTACCTGGCTCTGGGGGGCCCTCTGAGTTACCTGCAGGAGACGGTCAAAGGGCCGCAGGCCTCCTTGCTGAGCTGGGCCATCAATGCGCACAGTGTGGACATAGACACCCTTCTCCCGGAGGCCATCTGAGACACTGAAACCAAAGTCGTTCCTCACCGGGTCTTTGTGCAGGATCACCTGGGGGGAGGAGTGGTGGCCTTTGCTCTAACCCCCATTATGTTCCTGGGATTCAGGTCCAGCCTACTGACTGGCCATACTCCAGGCTGCCCTCAGCAGACTGTTGAGCATATTGTGCCTTATGACAGTCACCTTGACATGTGCAGCCTGCAGGCCCCAGGCCTAAGGGGTCCCTTAGAACGAGGAGCAAGAGATCATTGTGTCTTTACCACTTAGGGCAAAACCCTGGACTTGGCATGTGCCCTGGTGTCTTGGTGCTCATATAGATACACACGGATGCAAGAGATGCAAGTAGTGCGGGAGGGTGATGTCTGTCATCTGCCTACAGTAGCGTGCTAAGTGGTCTCTTGGTATCTGGAGGGTATGAGCTCCTGGTCCCTATGAGGATCCCCAAATCTGCAAATGCTCATTGATGTAGGATCTGAATAGAACCTGTGCCTGCTTGCTCACATGCTCAAGGAGTATCCAGGAGACCTCTGAAACCCAGTTCATTGGTCCTATAGAGATGATTCACCTTGCACTGTTCCAAAGTCAAAGCCAGCCCACGATCAGGACAGATTTCTTTCCCTAGAGTACTATTTTTTTTTTTTTTTGAGATAAGGTCTTCCTATGTAGAGCTGGCCTGGAACTTGCTATGTAGACCAGGCTGACCTTTAATTCAGAGATCCACTGGCCTCTGCCTCCCAACTGCTGAGATTAAAGACCTGTTCTGCAATGTCCAGCTTTTCCCTGAATACTTTTGATCTGTGGTTGGTGAACTGAATTCAGAACCTGTAGATAGAGAGGGCTAACTGTACAAATCCACATATTCATATATGTAATGTAACTTTAATTTGTGTACATAGATGTGTGTATGTAGCATACATATTTTTATGCATACATGCATATAGGAATAAAAAGTTTGCTGAAAAATGCATGTTGTGTATCACAGGTGTGTCTGTATGCAGGCATGGGGTATAATTACTTATACAGTGAGAGTTACAGAAACTCTAATGTAATAAAAATTCCTGGGTATTTTAATTGTTGTTTGTTTGGTTGGCTTGTTTTAAAATTTTTATTATTTTATGTATTTGGTATTTTGTCTGCTTGTATGTCTGTGTACTCCTTGTGTGCCTGGTGCTACTGGAGGTCAGAAGAGCGGATGGTTTCTAGCTGCTGTGTGTCTCGGGAATGAAACCTGGGTCCCCTGAAAGAGCAGCAGTTCTCTTAGCTGCTAAGTCATCTTTCCAACCTCCAAGTCCCTGTTTCATGGTGAGAGATGATAAAACCCAACAAGGGGTAGGGCCCTCAGCATCCCAAGTAGGTAAAGTTCTCCTGGCACCAGGCCCCCAGTGCCCATATTTCATGCCTGCTTGCAGCCCCCAACACCAACCCTGTGCATCTCCAGGGGCGTTGGCAGCAGCAGCTCCTGCAGGTCTTCAGGGGATGTTCGCACCTCCTGGCTCCGGCGCCAGGGCCGAGAGCCAGGCCTGCCATCCACAGCCACAGACTGTACAGTGCCTGTCATGATGGAAGCCTGTGGGGACATGGTTGTCACTCAGGTACCATATACTTACTCCATCTGCCTCTGTCAGGCAGGCACTCTGTCATAGAGTGAACACAGTGGATGAGGATGGGGTCCCTGTCCTCAGGGTCCTTGATCAACCACAGAGTCAGAGCAAGAGCCCCTGAGGGTCAGTGACAGCCTAGCATCTGCTCTGTACTAGGCTTGGTTCTCAGCAATTACAAGTTTAAGTTACCTCCTGTTCTGCAGTGCTGAGCCACTTCTGTTTTAAAAGACAAATAGGTTTAGTGAGAAAACTTGAACTCAGTCTGACTCCACAGTTAGGGTTCTGTGCCTCAGCTCATATCAGCAAGGCACATGGGAAGTAAGAGTCTAGGATAAAGAGAAAAGTCAGTGATGCCCCCAGAGCTGATATCTCAAAGAACAGCAAGGGAAGGGAAGACTGCCTCTGACAGAGGGGACATGGCAAAGATGGATTATGGGAAAGTCTGAAGGGTCTTACAGCACCCGGCAGCTTACAGTAGTTACATGACTTTTTATCTCATGGTGACAACAGGGTGACTTTGGAGTAAATAATTGGTGAAGAAGGAAACAGGAACAGATGTGTGTATTTAGGTGGGAATGGTGGCAAGGAAGGACATGGTGGGACTGTGGGGTTGTCAAGCAAAGGTCAAAGGAAAGGGTCATCTGGACAAAGATGAGGATGAGAGAGGAGCAGGGCTGTGGGATGGCTGGGGCAGTGGGCGGAGTCGGAAGGACCCAGCATGTGAGGGTGAGCTGAAAACAACACATTCAGAAAGGAGCATCCACAAATCACATGTGTAGGGGACACAGATGCCAAAGTAGGAGGGTGAACCTCCTCCATTGTGATACTCAGCTTCCTAGGCACACAGGTGCCTCTCCAGTCTAGAAATTTTTCTCCATGCCATCATGGCATCTGAGTTTCCACTCTGGTGTATAGTTCTGCCTGGTACTGATGATCTTCCAAGTGCAAGGGAGACTAAGAAAGCAAATGTCTTAGGGCCAGCAAAGCTCTTAGGAAGGCGAGGAAGAGGGAGCTAGGGCCGTAGGGGGAGAATCTTAATGGAGTGGATGCAGGTGGCTTTTGCGTATCTCTTACTAGTCCTCTCCTCCTGGAGAGCTAGACTCCATTAGGAAAGACCAGAGACTTGACATCTTGGGAGAGTCAAGAGCTTTAGGTGGTAGCTCAGTAGGGAAAGTGTTTGCACAAGCAGGAGGAGCCGAGAACCCAAGATCCCAAGAACCCGTGTAAAGGCAAAGCTTTAGAATCCTAGAGCTATAAGGGGGGGTGGGTGGGAATGCTGCTCCCTGGGGCTCACTGGCTAGTTAGTCTAGCCAAAATGATAAGCCCCAGGTTCAGTAAGAGACCCTATTTCTAACTAGAAGGTGGAAGGGTTGGAGGGATAGCTCAGTGGTTAAGTACTGGCTGCTTAGAAGACCTGGATTCAGTTCTCAGCACCCCCAGGGCATTCACAACCTATATAACTCCAGTTACAGGGGTTCTGATGCCTTTTTCTGGCCTCTGTGGGAACTACATGCATGTAGGGTGTACACACACACACACACACACACACACACAAGTAAAACACTCATACACATAACAATAAACAAATTTTGTTTGTTTTTGTGAGTTTTTGAGACAGGTTTTCTCTGTGTAGCCCTGGCTGTCTTGGAATTCACTCTGTATGCCAAGCTGGCCTCAAACTCAGGGATTAGCCTGCCTCTGTTTCCCAAGTGCTGGAACTAAAGGCGTGCACCACCATGCCTGGCAAATAAACAAATATTTAAGAAGAAACAAGGTAGACAGTAATTGATGAAGTCACCCAACTTCTGGCAATGAATGCTAGGTCTTGTCCTCTACCCTCTCACACACACAGACACAGACACACAAACACACATGCGCACACACATACACAACACATATACCATATGTGTGTACACACACACATGCACACACATGTACACACATGCACACACATGCACACATACAACACACATGCACACACAACACACACACACACAACACACATACACACATACATCCTAGTTCTTGGATCCTTAGAACATCCAGGTAATATATAGACTGAGCTAATAGAGTTAACTCGAATTTCCATCCAACCACAGAGAGACTTAGATGAACTTAAACATTCTTTAAATTAAGAATGAAAAATTTGAAGGCAGGTATGAGTAGAAGGGATTTATTTATTTATTTCCATTCATTTATGGAATTCAGAAGCCTGTGGAAGATAATGGATCTGAAATGTATATTAGGAGCCGGGTACCACTCTGGGAAAAAAATGCTGACTCAACAAAGGGAATTGGAGTGTCTCACTGCTGGGTGGAATCAAAAAAGGGTCTGTTTGACAGCACATGGGTGCAAAAGAGAACACATAGCTGGGTATGCGTGAGGGACTTATGGCGATTTCACCTCTGCATGAATATGGAGCTAAACTTTCCTCAGTATTGCAGAAACATCGAGCTGAGAATGTTATGTTCCAAACCTTTGAAACTAGTGAAATTCAAATACTTGATAGCTCAGAGACTCTCTAGTACCACAAAGCACAGGGTCCTTGGGCAACTGCAGCTAAAGTCGCTGCAACAATGAAGTTGAATAGCCAACCTGAACATGGACCCAGCAGATAGGCGACCACAAACCGCAGCGGCAGAGATAACAGAAAGGTGAACCCATGCCCTGACCATTAACACAACAGATAGGCAAACTCGGGGCTAGACCTAATAGAGAATGCCAGAGAAACTTTAAGTCTATCTAAAACATTCAGAAAAGTAAGAAGCTAAAAAGTAAAAGACGTTAAGAAAGGAAAACCTCAAGATGCGAAAAGCAGAGAGAAGTGTTAGGGAAATAAAAGGTGTAGAAACTGAAACATAATTTCTAGGAAGTAAGTTAAATATTGGAATAAATACAGCCAAGGAAAGGCTTGGTGCAGTGGAAGATAGATTAAAGAAAGCAACCAGTTAAAACCCCTGTACTGGCTACAAGGTAGAGTCATATGGGAAGATGGTGCTTTGGTTGAGAAAACGTCCCCATCAGATTGGGCTGTGGGCAAGCCTATGGACATTTTCTTGTTTGTTGATTGTTGTGAGAGGTCCCAGCTCACCATGGAAGGTGCCATCCTTGGGTAGATGATCCTGGGCTGTGCAAAAAAGCAAACTAGGCAAGCCATGAGGAACAAGCTGCACTCTTCCACTCCTCCAGGAACCATCAGCTCCTGCCTACGGGTTCCTGCCTTGAGTTCCTGCCCTGACTCCCTGGACAATGGACTATATGTGGAAGAGTTGCTTTAGCAATAGAAACCCTCACTGACACAACCCAAATCATCATTTGTATAGATTTCAAGGGTTTAAATCAACATGACAATGGAAAACATTAAAATACTAGATACCAAGTAGACAAGAGTCCCACAAACAAAACAGGTGGGGTCCAGTCAAATCAGCAATTACAGGTCAACTCATAGCTTTGAAAATGTACTGCATGAAGAAAGAAGAGTGGAGATTAAACACAGACAGACAGACAGACAGACAGAGAAGTCTAAGAAAATGAATGTCAAAATGAGCAAGACAAGACAATTGGGAGAGATGGAAAAATTAAAACAGGTTTTTGTTTGTTTGTTTTTTAGCCTGGTAATTGGCAAGGATGATGAAAGGGGCGTGGCCCCAATCAACAATGATAGAATAAAATGGAGTGGGGGAGGGGTGAGAGTGAAGAGATAGTACAGATAAAACAAAGCTTTGAATTGCTCCCAAAACTGAACTCAGAATGGCCTTGTCAATCCCCCTGTCTGACATGTGAGTGATGGTGGCTGGCCCGTGGCCCCTCCTCACCCATGCCACGTGTACACATTCACAAAAACAGCAGGATGGCCTCAGGGCAGCTGCATGCACACACTCAGATATCCTTCAGATACTCTGCTTGTGTGTGTGTGTCCTTCATACCTGCCTCTGTGTAAAGACTGCTTTACACCCAGGATGCCCGGGTGAGAGCACATACACTGTCATCACTGGTGCTGAGCTAAGTTAACCTGCCGGGGTTCAGAGCCAGCTGGAAGAAAACCTTGTGGGCCTGTCCATTAGAGTGAGTTAGGTGAGGCAGAAGACGAACTCTGAATGTGGGTGAGGATCTGGACTGAACCAAAGTGAGAACAGAGGTAAGCACAGCATTCGGGTCTCTGCTTCCATACTGCAGGTGCAGTGACCAGCAAGCCCAAGCTCCTGCTGCTGTGACTTCCTGGCCGTCATATGCATATTTGTATGGGGATGTGTGTGCATATGTGGGGGTGCAAAGGCATGTATGTTTGAGTGCATGTGGAGCCCGAGATTGCTGTCCAAACTTACCCCCCAACTGCCTTTTCATCTTATTTATTGAAGCAGGGTCTCTCTCAATCAAACCTAGAGCTTATCCATAATGGCTGGGCCAGAATTTGCAGGCAGGAGCCATGCTTGCCCTCGTTTCTTGGGATCCGAGTAAGTGCTTTAACCGCTGTGTCATCTCCAGCCCCAACCCTCCCTTTTTAAAGTGCCTTTTGTCAGGTAGTTTGCCACACAACAAGACATATAGATACTACACATCCCCAGATGACACATGAGTATGACCCCATTGATGTGTAGGCTTCCCCAGCCCTCCAGTGTGTCTGGACATGATGCTCCCACAGGCTCCTTGGCCTGGTGACAGTACCTCCAGCTCCCTTAGCAGTTCAGACTGACCACAGGACTCCAGGTCTTCAAGGGCCTCTCCAAGCACTCTCCAGAAGCCCTCCTCTCGGGCGGGGCCAGGGGCTGGGCTGCAACAGGAACCACAGCGTCAACTCCTGGCAGGTGGGAGGGTGGGTGGGCTGGGCCTGAGGAGTCTTCGTTGCCCAGGGCCCAGTGCTGGGCTCCAGGGGCCATAGGACAGGCAGGCAGGCAGGCGGGTGTCCTCGGTGGCAGTGCTGGGGCCCCAGGGCAGTGGTTGGTGACACAGAATGGGGTGGGGGAGGCGCAGTTAGGGGCGACCAAGACTGTTGGTGGTCAATTAGAACAGGGGCAGATGAGACGGGGTGGAGAGCGGTGACACAGGACGCCTGGGAAGAAAGACAGACGGACAGATAGAAGACAGACACAGACAGAAAGATCCATGGGATAGCCCCAGAAGACAGTCCCTGGTCCCACCCAGACACATGGCACCACAGGACAGTGACAGGACAGAGCCAGAACCAGCCAGGACACAGATGGATGGAGAAGATGGGATATTTGTGCTGGGGAGGGGTGGGTAGTACCCATCCTGCCAGCCTACACTGTGTGGCCCATCAGCAGCAGACGTCAAGCTCGCAGGATGCACTATACTGTCTTTGTGTTACTCTGCCAGCTCTCAGAGCCCTTAGCCATACTGTGATTTACAAAGTCTTCACTTCTCAAAGGCCTAGCTTTGCTTTTAAGGAGGACAGTGCAGCACAGGGGTAAGTCCACGGCAGAGGAGGTGTGAGTCTTGGGACCCACTCTGTGGGAGCTGGCTGCTGTGTGAGCGTGGTTTGACACATGCAACATGCATAACCCTGGGCTGGTTCTTGTGAACTGAGAGTCATGCTTCATGTAACCTGATCTGAGGAGGGGCCTGGGTTCAAATTCTGAGTCTGATGTTGTATTTCTGAAAACAGCTTTAACCAGAGCCAGGAGGAAGTAGCCAGGCTGCTGCCCAACTACAATACATCCGCTGCTGTCTCTGCAATGCATCCTTTCCAGCCAAGCTCAGCCTAGATCCATTCCTCAGGCCAGGAAGGCTTTTCTGTCCTATCTCCCCAGTCCTGGTGTTGTTATCTTCTGGCTACCCCTTCCACCCCCAACAGCCCACAAGTTTTCCCACCACAGACCTCATCGGTGGCTCCCAGTCCCCCTCTTCCTCCTCTGGGAAGCTTTCATCAGTGGGGCCCGGTGTGTAGCTCGTCCTCCGAGGCTCAAGGGGTGGGGGGCTACTCTTCAGTCTGCTGGTACGCCACTCCTGGGGAGTCACGCTCCGGACTGCCACCTGCGGAGTGTAGGACCCTGGCGGGTGGAGAGAGGGACATGGGCCTTCTCTCTGTCCTTGTCTTGCCCTCCCTCATTCCCAGCAACTGGATGCCAGTGGGCATCTCTGTGCTTTTCTCGGGCCAAAGTGACCACTGAGAGCCCCAGAAGTCCCTGTTACCCTAGCAAGCCCTAGGAACATCCATCAGTCAACAGTGAAGTTCCAGGACCACGGTCAGTTCCACAAGCAGGCCTGCTAAAGAGCCTCTTTGAAAGGGAGTTTCTAATTGGGCCCAGATCTAAGGAGCCCCAGGATGAGCTGCCTGGAGCTTGGGATAAGGACACACAGGGGGAGCCAAAGGCCCTAACTAAACAGGAGTGGGGATCCACCAAGAACCCATGGAGGCTTCTGAGCTAATTCCCTGAGCCTCAACCACAAGCCAGAGAGCAGCAGCACCAGTGGGTCTTAGCCCCACGGGCAAGGAGGTCACTGTCTGCCTTCTCATCTTCATCTGGGAGCAATGAACATGAATAAAGACCCACTGTGTGCCAGTCATGGAGATAAGGAGAGACACAGCAGAAGTAAGAGCGGTTCTGTCCCCAGCTCAGGAGAGGAAAGACAGGACTGTAGGTCCCTCTGAGGGGCAGGTGAAGGATGGAGTTAGTCAGGATGCCCTTAGGAACCTTCTCAGAAGGTAAAGGCTAACAGGGAGAGGAGGTCCCAGGAAGAGCAGGCATCAGCATCACCTTCATGAAAGCTTGTCCGAGGCCCTCATTTTGTTACCTGGGCCCCCAAAGCCACCCTCTGTGGCAGAGCTGCCCCAGGACTCCACAGCACTGTCCACGCTGGGTACAGCAGGTGAGAAGCGAGTTGTCAGCAAGCCTCCTTTGAGGGCCTCAGGGGGATCCTCATCCACATCACTGGCCTCACTGAGGCTGCCTGACTGGCGGGGGAGAAGGGGACCTGGGAAGAGAAGGGGTATCACCTGTGACCTCAGAGACACAGATTATCTGTGAGCCTCAATTTCCCCCATTTCTATGAACTCCCAGGCTTTTGACATCTGGCTGCTGCCACGTGGGTGGGGCATGCTAGTAAATTAATCCCACAGATGGGAAAACTGAGGCGTGTGAGGTGAGGCTCAATAATACAGTTGAAGAGCAATGAAGCCCAGATTAAAGCAAGAACCCAAGACCCAGGTAAACTGTAGCACATATAGGACACAGGAACATAGAACACAGGGCACAGGAACATGCAGGAACCCGAAGAGATATGAACTGATGAGAAACACGGTTTGGGCCCAGAATGCACCCAATACTGCATTGTGCCACCAAGACACAGCTCTCCTCTCTCTAAGCCTCCTCCTCAGCTGGTCCAGGGACCCCATCCCCTCTCCGGATTGGTAGTGCACAGGTGACCCAGGACTGCCCCTCCTCTGTAGGCCAGGAAGTCCCCAGGAAGGGGCAAGGCTCACGGTCCAGCTGCTTCTTGATCTTCAGTGTGACAGTCTCCCCTGCCACCTGCAGAAGGTGGATGGCCTCACTCAGGGGCCGGCCCTTGAGGCTCACGCTGTTGATGGCCAGTATGCGGTCCCCAACATGGATGGCACCAGTCCTGAGGAGTGGACAGAGCACAAATGAGACCCAGATGCTTGGGGCCTCAGATGGTGTGGGTCTTGCCTTTAAATACTCTGCAGAGGCCCCAAGGCAGGAGCCTGGGTGGCCCCAGCTCGACAGAAGGAGAAAGCAGTCAGGCGTAGTGGTTCTCTCTGGTATTCCCAGTGTTCCAGAGACTAGGGGGAAGGGGATCATAAGGTCCTGCCTCAGAGAGGTGGCAAGAGAGGGAACAAGGGAGAGAGGAGAGAGAAAGAGGTGTGAGGGATCCATGCCAGCCTCAGAACTCCTCTAGACTCTACACTTTATACCTCTGCCTACTCAACTCAGGGTCACTCTCTTCCTCCTCATTTGTTCTGAGACAGGTCTTGCTACACAGCACAGGCTGGGCTGGAGTTCTCTAAGATAATCACTGTTGAGGCTTCTCAAAAAACTGAAAATAGATGCCTAGCATGGTGGCACACACCTTGATTCCCAGCACTTGGGCGGCAGAGGCAGGATTTCTGAGTTCTAGCTCAGCCTGCTCTACCTAGCAGGTGTCAGGCCAACCACACTTAGTCATATACCGGGAAAGAAGGAAAGAGAGAGAGAGAGAAAGAGAGAGAGAGAGAGAGAGAGAGGGAGGGAGGGAGGGAGGGAGGGAGGGAGGGAGGAAGGAAGGAAGAAAGGAAAAATTTGTAGGAAAACAGATGAGAATAATCAAGTGGAAGAAAATAAGCCAGACTCAGAAATCACCTCTCTTATGTGGAAACTAGATGTAAATGCATATATGGGGAGGGTTATAAGATGATGAGAGTAGAGCGGACACAGAAGGAAAGGCCAGCCAGAGACCGCCAGAGACCGCCAGACACCACCAGAAACCGCCAGAGACCGCCCCACCCAGAGATCCATCCCATCTGCAGACACCAAACCCAAACACTATTGCCAATGCCAAGAAGTGCTTGCTGACAGGAGCCTGATACAGCTGTCTCCAGAGAGGCTCTGCCAGAGCCTGACCAATTCAGATGCGGATGCTTGCAGCCAACCACTGAACCAAGCCTGGGTGCCCGAATGGAGGAGTTAGAGAAAGGACTGAAGGAGCTAGAGGGGTTTGCAACCCCACAGGAAGAACAACAATATCAACTAATGGGACCCCCCAGAGCTCCCAGGGACTAAGCCACCAACCAAAGAATACACATGGAGGGACCCATGGCTCCAGCTGCATATGCAGCAGAGGATGGCCTTATCTGGCATCAGTGGGAGGAAAGGCCCTTGGTCCTGTGAAGGCTCGATAGCCCAGAGTAGGGGGATGGTAGGGCAGTGAGGTGGGAGTGGGTAGGTGGGTGGGGGAGCACCCTCATAGAAGTAAGGGTGAGGGGGTGGAATAGGGGGTTTTCAGAAGAGAAACCGGGAAGGGAGATAACAATGAAATGAAAATAAATAAAATAACCAATAAAAAAGTGAAAAATAAAAATAAAAAAGAAAGTCTGGTAGAATTCTGTACTAAAAAAAAAAAAGATGACAAGATAAAGATTAGATGTAAGGGATCAGGGAAACAGAGAAAAACGGAGTCATGGATGGATACTTGAGACCTAACAGGAGTGCAGCTATTTAAGGGAAGGAAAGGGGGTCAGAAAAAGGGGGGCCAAGGGACAAGGGGTGGCCGTGGAGTCCAGAGAGGAGTAGGGACCAAGTGTAACTGTGGCATATACATATGAAAATGTTATGATGAGACCTATTACTTTGCTTGTTAACTTTAAAACATGCATATTGATCTCATGTTAAAATGCATATATATTTAAGATTCATTTATTCTCACTTAACTTTTTGAATGTGGCCGCTAGAAAGTCGGTTTGGATTGCTAGTATGATTGCACTGCCAGGAAGGCTGTGAAGAACCACCCTCTGGAGTCTGCAGTCTACCAGGCCCCTGCATTCTCTCTAGAGTCCAGCAGAGGGTGCTCCAGGAGCAGCCCAGCCTGAGTCAGATCCTGGCTAGGCAGATGTGCTGTGTGCTCAGGCCCTGTGAGGCTCATTCTTCAGGCCACTGCCTTGCCCTGCCATGCAGGGGAACTCACCCCTTCTGGAACCCCTGACTCCTTGCACTTCTGAGATAGAAAGCTGGGACTCACCCACCTGGGGGCCACTTCACCTCTGTCCACGCAACCCAGGGGCAGTCAGGGCACCTTTCTCTCAGGGCTCCTTCTCTGGGACAGCCCCAGAGACACTGAGTAGGTGGCAGCCCAGTAGTCTCAGGGTCCCAAGATAAGCCTCATGTGGGGTTCAAGCAATGGGGCACTACTCCTGATATTCAGACACATAGAGTCGTCACAGTGGTAACTGTTAAGGCCCACACTCTGGGAGGAGGCTGAAGGTGAGCTGCCCCGCCCTGGCTGAGCCTTCAGCTGTGGGTCCCCTCTGCCCTCATTTTCTCTACCCTGGCTGCTGAGCTGGACCAAAATTCATGCTATGGATGAGGAGTGGGTATTCAGAGAGAAAGTGATCGCCCTTGGGTTATTCAATGCTGGAACAGAAGTAAAAAAATAAATCTAGATTGGGTGGTCCCAAAGCCCACCTTCTGCTCCCTGGGGGTCCCCAGGCCTTCCCTGTGCCCCCACTGAGGCCTGATTTACCTTTCTGCCAGACCCCGCTTGGTGAGGCCAGAGATAATGATGGGGTCAAAAGGTTCCTCTGTACCGGAGATGGTGATGCCCAGGGGTCCGCCATAGCGCTTCAGTTCCACTGTGTAGCTGACTGCACCAGAGCTTTCCTGCTCATCTGTAAGTGGACAGGTGGCCTGAGGGTGAGGAGGCAGGCTGCAGCACTCCCCAGTCTCAGCACTCTTCAAACACCAATGCCTTCATCGAACCCTCAAACACACCTGCTCAGGCCTTCCAGGGTACAACCTGGGGACCTGGAGGCCACCTCAGGGGTACAACCTGGGGACCTGGAGGCCACCTCAGGGGTACAACCTGGGGACCTGGAAGCCACTTCAGGCTCCCAGCCTGCTGCCCAGATGCCATGAAGGGAAGAAAAAAAAAACAAAACCACAAACAAACAAACAAACATTGCAGGAACGTGGAACCAAGATATGAAAACAGATTTCACATGCTGCCCACAGCAACTCAAGATTTACAGTAAAGAGAAGTGAAAGAGAAGGGAGGAGGGAGGAAGGAGAGAAGGGAGGAGGGAGGGAGGGAGGAAGAAGGAAGGAAAGAAGGAAGGAAGGAAGAGTGAAGGCAAAAAAGGGAGAGAAGGAGAGGAGGAAGAAATGAGAGGAGGTCTGGAGAGATGGCTCAGGGGTTAGGAGCATGTGCTGCTCTTACAGAGAGCTAGGGTTCAGTTCCCAGTATTCACATGTTGCTTACAACCATCTGTAACTCCACTTCCAGGAGATCTGACTCCTTCTTCTGGTCTCCCTGGGCACCTGGCATGCACGTGATACACTGACATACATGCAGACAAAACACTCACACACATAAAAAACAAAATAAATTAAATTTAAAAAATCAGAAAAGAAAAAAAGGACAAAGAAAGAACAGGAGACAAGGGGGAGGGGAAGGGGGAGAATGAGAAGGAAGCTGGCCTCCAGTGGCTTCTCCTCCAGAGGGAGGGCCACAGACTCTGACTATGGGCTTCACACTCCACTACACCCCTAACTGCCCCCTTCTGACTCTTCCTTCTCTCCTTCCCAGCTCACCAGTTCAGACCTGCCTCTGTTGTTCCAGGGCCAGCCCTGAGAGCAGTAGCCACCAGCAGCTCAGAAATCAGATATCCTGCCAACATCCCACACTCTGAGGAGCCTTGTAGTGGCTCCTGGGGGCCCTGAAGCAGAGGGATGATGGAAGCAGGGATTCCTGCATGTGTCCTCCAGCCTCCCCCAGCAGCCAGCCACTGGGCGTGGTCTCTTAGGCACACACCTGAGTTGTCCTCATCTTTCCGGATCTTCAGCTTCACCAGGTCTTCACACTGCCGCAGGATCTGCACAGCATCCTCCATGGGACAGTGATCCAGGCGAATATTGTCAATGGCCAGCAGCTTGTCCCCTGGCTCGAGGGTGCCAGTCCTGTGTGAGTAGGGTGGGGATGGAGGAGCCTGGTGTAGATGAGTACTGTCCCCCCACGGCCACGCCCCTGCCCGTGTGGCACCCCACCTGTGCGCCACGCTGCCTTTCTTGATGTCGGAGATGATCAGGGGTTCCCCTCTCTTTCTGCTGGCTGCTGTGGAGTTCGGGAGACAGGCTGTGAATTTAATTTTCAAGGGCCCTGCTTAAGGTGGGGTCAGGAGAGGACACTACTGGCTCCTGGTCCCGTGTCTTCCTGGCCTGGGGGTCGGGGTTTGTGAACAAATCAGCTCACCTCTATGTGCATCAGTCTTCCTTCTATGAAATGGGTCTGCACCCCATTGTGGAGATGTAGTGAGATAAAGCAGGTAGGGCAACGTGGGGACTTACAGCTAATGGTGATGCCCAGCTCCACACCACGCCTTTTGGGTAATTTCACATGGAAGGTCCCACTGCTTGGGATGACAGACTCTGTGAACCAACAGCCATGGGTGACTCAAGACTCCAGAAGAGCTCAGAGAACTGCATCAAGCACCTGCTGTGGCTTCTCTTGGGTTGGGAGGGAGGCAATCTCAGAGAGTAATGATCCAAACCATCCCACCCCGCTGCTGCTGCCAGCTTATGGAGGAGGAAGGCTGAGGCCTGGAAGGCTGACGAATTGGCTCTAAACAGCTGAGTGCTGTCTTTGGAACAGAGGCAGGGTGGAGGCCGGAGCTGGAGACTGCCGGCCAGTGTGTGAACTGTGGCAAAACTTGACCCATTTGGATCCAGGCATTTTTACAACTTGTCTCTAATTCATACCACACCTCTGTTTTCTACTATTTGACAGATGGGGAAACAGAGGGCAGAGGGAGGCTGTTTCCTGACCAGATATTCTCATATGGAACTCCCAGGATTACAGCCCTGACTTCAGCTGCTTGGAGTCCCTGTTGCATGCAATCCACTTTAAGTCCTTCCGACTCTTGATTCCTGTGTGGTACTCCCTCATTCCTATGCAGGGCTTAGGCATGCACTGTACATGGTCTTAGAGAGCACAAAGGGGGGATGGGCAGGGTCCCAAAGTGTGTGTAGCTGAGGGGTCTACTCACCTGCCACATCAAACTCGATCTCCAAAACAACTTTGCGGGCCAGCGCAGCATCCCGCAACAGCTGGTTGGCTTCCTCCATGGTCCCATCCTCAGTGGCAATGCCATTAATGGCTAGGACACGGTCCCCCACCTGAAGCAGACCACACCTAACCCCCAAGGCCCAGTGGAGAGAAGAAACCGGTGACTAGAACCTCAGGTGGGGGCATGATGGGGGCCCCCTCTCAGTTCTTGGTCTCTGAACTCAGCCCTGGCCCCAGCTAAGGGTTTGATACCGTTGTCCTTACAAGACACACAGAGTCCTCTGAGTAGAGGCAGACAGGGTTTACATACTGTGTGCTGTGATGGGGTCAATTATTCGGATTAAGTAAGGTATATTTGTGAAGCTGGGGCCTATAGTTGTGACTCAGTTTCCCCACTGGACTAGAGCTCCCCAAATTGTAGGCCCACAGAGGCAGTAGGCTCACCTCTCAGCAGGGCTGTCAGGTTCAATAAATCGCACCAAGGGTGGGGAGGACAGGGTCTCAGTGGCAAAGATGCCTCCCTGCAGCTGGAGGCCGAAGCCACTGAGGGGGTCTCCACAGAGCACAACTTCTGTAGTCTCCGTATGAACAATCTGTCCGCCGGGCCCCACTGTGCTGGAGGCCAGTGACACTGTGGGACAGGAGGGTTTCATGCTCAGATGAACCCTGGTGAGGCTTTCCAGGGCTGCCTACTGACAGTCATCATGAGGTCTAGGGTCAGAGGGGCAGGTGAGCAGGGGTCCCGGGACCACCTAGGATGCGCCTGAGTTTCTTTGTCTGTACAGGGCCATGATGACATCTACTCTGCACAAGCAGTGGCTAAGAGAGACAGCATTAGAACTGTTATTTTGTAAGATAAGAGGATCTGGGTGCCTGTATTATTTATTATATTACAGAACCCTCCTTATCCATAGGGCATGTATTCCCAGACTCCAGGAAATGCCTAAACCCACAGATAGTACCAAAGCCTACAGATACCCTAGTCATACAGCCCTATGATGAAGTTTCATCTACAAACAACCCTTGGGAAGAGAGACATTAACTTTAGCTTGATGGTGAAATAAAACTATTATACCAGCGTGTCTCATAAAATCACAAGAATCACTATAGAGGCACTTTTTGTTTAGTTTTGAAACAGGGTCTCATATATCCCAGACTGGCCTTGATCTTTCTGTGCAGCTGAGCATGACCTCGAACTTCTGACCTTCCTACCTCCCCATTACAGCGTTGTTAGATGCCGGATTACAGGCAGGTACTACTTTGCTCATTTATTTGGTGGTAAGGGTAAAACTCAGGATTTCATATATGCTGGAAAAGCAATCTACTGTCTGAGCTACATCTCCAGTCCCATGACCATTGCTCTGGACATTGCTCAGTAAAACTGGGTCACCTGGGCAGCAGACACTAGTCAGTCTGACCACGAGAGATGACGGAGAATGGTTAACAGTTGAGTAACATGTACATGACAGATACACTGGCAAGCACGCTGCTCACATCCCAGGATGGACCAAGTGGGGTGGACTTAAGCCGTTCCCACACTACTCAGAGCACTGTGCAAGTTAAAGCATAGGGTCTATTTCCAGATTTGTCTATCTAATATTTTCACATTGGGGATGAATGTGAGTAACTGGAGAGTGAAACTGGATTGGGCGGTGCTGTGTTCTGTGCTCCATAGTCTACATGTCTCTTTGTTTTGATAATAGCTTTATTTTTAAAGATTTATTTTGTTTTTAATTAAGTGCATGTATATATGTCTCTGTGTGTGTGCGTGGGGGGGAGTTGTATGTGTGTGTCTGTAGAGGCCAGAAGAGGGTGTCAGCTCCCCCTGGTAATGGAGTTACAGGTGGTTGTGATCTGCCTGTCATGGGTGCTGGGAACTGAACTTGGATTCCTTGCAAGGGCAGTAAATGCTCTTAACCACTGAGGCGTCCTTCCAGCTCCCAGGAACAGCTGCATTTGACATGAAGTCCCCATACAATAGTAGTCATCTGTTTAGTGTACAATTTGATGGCTTAAAGCACTGACACCCTCTCCCACAGGAACCTAGTCAGGGTCGAGGCAGAAAGACTGAATTCTAGGCCAGACTGGGCCACATAACGAGACTTTGTCTCAAAACCAAAAAAAGAATAAAGGAATGACTGTCTCCTCACCCATTGCCCCAGAACCTGCATTTTGCCCCAGGCGATCTATCCTCAACCTATTTCTGTCCCTGTGGGTTTCCCTGGACACATCACAGAAATGATCTCATGTAGTCCTTAGTGACAGGCATCAGACACTGAATACACTGGCTTCAGAGGCTCCTTTCTGTAACATCCAGGACTCCCCAGGGTGCAGCCATATCTCATCCAGGTGGCCACACTACCCAAGTCTCACCCCCAGCCCCATCCTCCACCTCACGTGTGCCCCACGGAGACGGCCTCCTGCTTACAAGAGCTCCTGTGTTCTTTCCTTCTCTGCCTTCTCCTCCCTGCTGTTGTCCTGGGACTCATGGGTCCTCTGGGCAGGGTGCTGGCGTTGGCACAGGGAAAGGCAGGGTTCATAGTTGGTGAGGAGAAGGGAGTCGAGGACACAGCTGGGGAGATCAGAGCACAGCCCTGTGAGCCCCAGCAGGGCCCTAGTCATTTGCACAGGGGTCAGAGAGGAGAACCACACACTCACACGGACACAGACAGGCATGCCTTCTCCCCTTCACCTAAGTCCCTTATTGTGTGATCTCACACAGGTCTCCCTCTGCCCCCGCCCCCTGAGCCTCACAGACCTCTAGGGACAGGCTAAGTGATTCAGGGCATCCCTCTTGCTCCTATGTTGGTTTTTACCCCATGTACCGACACCGCCCACCAGGAAGGGGTATTGGGACGTCAGCATTGCTGTAGCAGCAGATACATTACATCGGCTCTGGTCCTGGCCTGCAGGTGCCCAGGTGGGTGCCTTGCAGTGGCTTGGCCTTGGACTATGGCAAGAGGGAGCACAGGGGTCCCAGCGGTGCAGCTGCTCACTCCTCTGTATTCTCACTGCGGCAGTGGGAAGAGGAAAATGGCCTGGGTGTCTGGGGTTGTTCAGGCTGACTATTACCCACAAGTCAATGGTGAGACCCAAGATCTTTGCACTGTCTAAGCCAGCAAGGCATAAAACACTCTGTTCATGTGCATTGCTACCCACCATGGGCCAAGCATTGTGACCAAGCTCCAGCTGCATTGACAGCCAGGAAGGCCATTCCCCCTCAGGGAACTGGCTCTGGACTCCAGAGGTTCCCTGCTGAACAAAAGCCCCTCTGTAACAAACTTCAGGGGCACAACAGGTTGATGGGGCCCACAAGGCCCCTAAACTTCTGTGGCAGCATGGACCATGTGGAGCTCCAGTGATTGGCTACCCCCATTTCTGGCTCTAGGTTCTATTGTTGGTTCTGTTAAATGGGCCCTGGAGAGTGGCTGCCTCCTTGGGTTGTAGGGAAGCTATGAAAGAATCCTGAAAACTTCCAGTAGGGCCAGGCCCTTAGCAGAGACTACGTTAACAAATCCCAGCATCTGGCTCCCACAGTTCTTCCTACAGCCTCTGCAGCCCCGGTTTTCCTGCCAAGTGTGACAGGCAGTCCTCCTGCCTGCTCAAGGCTTTGTCCTAGAACTCTAGTGCCTCAGAATACCTCCCTGCTCCATTCCAGGTTTTGGGTCTTGAGACCTGCCGAGGTGCCTACCTGCCTCTGGGGGCTTTAGGGGTCGACGACTCTGGGGTGCGGGCAAGATCTCCAGTCGAACCTTCTCAGTCACACTGGCCAGGAGCTTAGTGGCCTCGACCAGTGAGCAGTGTTCTGTGCTGGTGCCATCGATGGCGAGGATTTGGTCTCCAGCATGCAGGGCACCACTCCTGAGGAACAGGGGCACAGAGAGGCTGGTCCAGAGGACAGAGCCACAGGTTGCCTCTGCCCTGCATAGCCCTGCATCACCTCACCTGTCCACCACGCTAGCTGGCTTGATACGGTCGATAGTGATAGCTGGCTTGTTCCGGTGGGAGCCGGTGGTGAGAGAGATCCCCAGGGCAGATCCTGGGGTCTTGGCTATTTCTACCACCAAAGGGCCTGAAGCATTGGCCACTGTGTCTGGAATGATGGGGAGGGAAAATATAAAGATTCGTGGAAAGTAAAGGTGCCTGCTGTCCTGCCTGGCCTAACTCTGAGGTCCTCTAGTCCTTACTGCTAAGGAAGGGGATGGCATGGAGGGAAGAGATACAGCCACCAGCAAATCAGGTCCGGCCTCCATTGTACTTCAGAAACATCCCTTACCTCCACCACAAGCACCCTGGCCTCAGGTCAGCTCTCCCTGAGGCAGCTAGTCACTTCTTTAGTCCCTGGCTTCTACCTTCACCCCTTCTGTCCTGGCTCCTTCCCATTCAGCCATCCACTGCAGCCAGGCTGGCCCCTCACTCTTGGGCTAAAAGCTCCTGCCCCAGGGCATTTGCACTTACAATTCATCCTGCCTCAGAGCTTCCCCAAAGGTTCACTCCTTCACTTCATGCTCTAGTTAGAGCCTATGCCCTAGGTTGCTCGTGTGTGCATACGTATGTGTGTGTGTATGTGTATACGCATGGGCACATGTGTGTGTGAACACATACACAGAAGTATGCTAATTGGCATCCCCTCTCCACAACTAGACACTTCACCTGTATTGTCCCTGACAAATCCCCAGGGAAATCAGGAGATGCCTGATACTGTCAAGAGGCCCAGAGAAGCTAAGGCACTGGCCTAAGACCACAAAGTCTTTATAGTATTGAGGAGCTGGGACCTCTTCTTGCCCCCACCCTCACCCTCAGACCTGAACGTACCTGGGGTGGCCACGTCGTACTCCACCTGGAAAAGGGCCTCATGGCTACACTGTTGCAGGGTGGCTATTGCGGTGGCATGGCTGGCCCCATGCAGTGGGATCCCGTCTATGCTGAGCAGCCTGTCGCCCACCTTTAAGGAACCTTCCCTACGTTGGAGACGAAAGCCCAGTCAGGAATGGGACACACAGAATGAGTCAGGGGTGAACAGGTAGAGTATATGTAAAATGTATCAGGCCAGCTCTGATGCCCTCTACCCACAACATGTCTGAGCTGGGTGTGTTCTTCAAGGCCACTCACATCACAGCCCAGATAGAGTGTCTGCCTGGCTGGGGACACACAGCATCAGAGAAGGCGCAGTCTGCTCATTGGAGTCTCTTCTCATTGTCCCCACCCCAATTTTCCAATAGTGACTCTGGCCCAGTGACAGATGAGCTTGGGAAAGAACTCAGCAGTGCTCCAGTTTGGGCCCAACCCCTGCCCTGGAATGTCACCCCTGACAGGTGCCAAAGCTATTCCAGGAGGTTCTATGAATAGCGACACATGCAGGGCCCCAGACCAAGACCAAATTTAGATCTACAACAAGCCTGGTTCAGGCTTCTCTTAAAATGGTCAGGAGTCTCCTGCTCAGAGAGCAAGGGTGAGGGGTCAGGAGACAGCAGCAGGGCCTGGACATATTCCTTTCCTACACCCTGTCCTCCCGGCCCTGCTGGGCTGAGTCAGGCCCTGTTGGGACATGAGAGGTTTCCACAGACAGTCCCAGGCAGAGATGTCCAGTCACAGGGCCCAGAGTGCTTTGCCCCAGGCTGAGTCAGGAAGATGCTGGGAAGATTCAAGCTGGGGTCTGTCCTAGCCACTTCCATCAGTTCTCTGAGTGATTCTGGGTATGTTGTCCCCATCTGGTCTCGACCTCCCATCTGAGAAATGATGTGAAGACCCAGGGCCTCAGATAACCACGAAGTATCCACATGGCTTCCATGTGTCAAGTGGCCAGGGGACATGGATGCTTCTGTCTCAGGCAGACTCACCTGTCTGCTGGGCCACCAGGTCGCACATAAGTCAGGACCAACGGGCGGGATTTGTGCAGGTCCTCATGGGCACCTCCTGGACAGAAGTCAACAGGAAACTGGAGTCACTTACCTACGGATCTCCTGGTAAGCAAAGGCCTTGACACCAGCCCAGGCAGCCTCCCTCTCCACAGTGGGGGATGAGGGACAGGAAACACAACGACAATTCTCTCTCGGTCACATAGCGTGCTTCTCCTCCTGAGTGCTCATCTTCTCTTCCTTTTTGCCCTGGTTACTAGGTAACTAAAACTTGGTCATGCATCTGCCTCAGCTTTCTACCATCTCTGTGTGTTCTCTCGTCAGCCATGCATGCCTCATTGCTTCTCACAACTGTCCTCTCAATGTTTGACTCAGTGGTCCTGGGTTCTTTAAAGGGCTAAGCAAGGACTGGTGAGATCTGGTTAAGCAGGCAAAGATCCTTGCTGCCCAGACTCATGGCCTGAGTCTGTTACATGGAACCCACACAGCAAAACGAGAGAACTGACTCCTACACGTGCTCTGACCCCTACACACACACGTCATGTCACGCATACGCATGCGTGTGCATGCATGAGCACACAGAGAGACACGAGGTTAAATAAATAAACCGAGAAAGTCCTCATCAAAATGTAGGTCACATTCGACCACGTGACGCAGAACACGCATGGGTCCTTGTGACCTCGTTCTTGTCATCTCAACTCCAAGGAGAGCTGTCACACTGACCTCTGAGGACAAAGCCAAAGCTGTTGCCTTCCTTGTAGAGGGAGACGTCCACCGTTTTGGAAATGATCCTCGGGTTGTTTTCAGGAGCTGTAGAGAAATCAAGGCCTCCTTTGAGTCTCTCTGCCACATCTCTGTGCTGCTGGTAGATGTGCCCAAGGCTCACTCCAGGAGAACCAAGTGACCAGCCACAGAGTCACAGCAACGACTGGCCTCTCTGACTTTACAGGCAGAGGAGGCGGGGCACTGGAAGGTCCTTATCTCTACCCAACCTAGTCCACCACAGACAAGGGAGAGGGCCTGATATGCTCGTGAGGGCCACAGCAGAGCACAGGATTCAGAGAGACTTGGGGCTAGGCCAGGCTTGCTTCCAATGACTCCAATTAGGTCTTTAGACCAACTTTAAAAATTCAGAGTTGGGAGAAATCCTAGGCTGCCATGGTCAGTGCAGGGCAGTGGGGTTGAGAGCAATGGGTCAGGAAACAAGTTACTCAGTCTGTGTCCCCAGACCCCTCTCTATCCAGCGATGCAAGATGACAGGTTATGAACAGGGTCCCACCACCACCTGTTGACAACATACTGTGTCTACCATGTTCTACCATGTGTGTCCAGCCTCCAGACATCACCCACCCTGTCTAGGTGACCCCCAACCCCACCCCAGGCCCGGGCAAGGAGGCATCTGTGTCCCCCCACGCCTGAGGCAGTGGACAGAGTTCCCCGTCCAAGGGCACCCACCGGGCGGGGGCAGCTCATACTCCACCTCCAGCACCACGCGCTCGCCCACGTTCTTCAGCAGTGTGATGATCTCATCATGCCGGAGCCGGGTCAGATGGATCCCATTCACTGAGCGGATGTAGTCGCCCACATTCAGTAAATCACTCCTGAAGCAAGAAAGCCAGAGCCCAAGTTGGGTCAGTGCTGGCCTCTGGGTACCAACATTCACACCACCCTCCCCTGGGACCCTCAGAGAGCTGAGACTCAGAGCGGTCCTTCCCCTGTCCAAGGCCACACAGCAAAGGGTGAGATAGCACCTGTCTAACCAAGCCTGAGTATGACATCCAGAACTCCCCAGCCTGTTCCACTGTGCTGGCCTGGTGACAGCATCATGGTGACATCACTGACCATCCTGCACAAGCCCAATGGTGGCCTGCCCATTGCTCTTCTTTTGTGTTCTTCCCACAGTCCTCTGAAGCCCTTCTGATCAGTTCATCTGGACACTTAAGTCAACTTCCAGCCCTTGTTGTCTAGGGGAAACATCTAGGACAGTGTGTACAGAGCACTACCTTAGTTGGAAGCCCTGGAGGGCTTCCTGGAAGCAGTGGTTTCTGTGTTGCATGTGGAGGGATGAATAGGAGTCTGCCAGGAGGGTGCCCAAGGGGCAGAGGGAATGACATGGAAGTGTACATGGCCTTGCTTGGGTGGGATGCTGTGGCCCCAAGGAAGGAGAAGGAAAGAGGCTGGGCCTTGAATCAGCATTTGTTAGAGGCCTCCCTGTAGCAGCCATCAAGCTCCCTCACTTATCTGTCTCCTCCCATTGCCCATCTCCCACCTCACACCTCTTACCTGGCTGCCAAGCCCCCAGGTCTCAGGTTGGAGACTCTGGGCTTCCCGTCCTTGTCAGTCCCTCCCGAGATGGTCAGGCCCAGAGTACTGCCCTCACGCTTGATCAGCTCCACCATGGTGATGCCCCGGAACTCCTCTGTGGGCAGACAGGAGGGTGAACAGGTAAGCATCCGTTCTGGGGATGGCTAGGGCAGGCAGGTGGGCACTCCGCCACTTTATGCTGGGTAACGACCCTGAGGGCACAGGGCCAGTCAATGGCAGTGCCGATACTTCGTGAGTCACTGGAACTCTCAGGACAGAGCTCAAGGCAAAGTACGATCCACCATACCTGGAATGCTCTGGCGCCGGTACACCAGGGCCCCATCAGCCCCCGCTGGGTCCTTCCCCCCTTTTGAGTAAGGCCCATCATCTGTGGGAGAAAGGTAGAAACTGGAATCAGAAACTGGCCCAGGTCCCACTTTCATGTTTGGTCCACTGGGGGAGCTCTTCTACCTCATGCTGTGCAGCGCATTATAACCAGTATCCTACAAGGGGTGTCCCAGGGCTCTCTTCTGGCTAAAGGCTTGGATAAGGATCCCCATGTGGGGAGCTTCTCAGCCAACCTAAGGTTGAGCGTCGGACATGTCCATGTCATAGTCCGTATTGTTATCATGGGTAATATTACTCAAACAATCCAGAAAGGAAGCTGAGGCTCAGAGAGGGAGAAGTCGAGTTCAGGGTCACACAGCTTGGAGGGTTGGATGGGGGGAATGATCTAGCTTAGAAACCTAGGCCTGTTGGCTCTGTCCCAGGATCTAGATGCATACCTGGTAAGACAGGCACTTACCATGGTTTTCATGACCAGACTTGGCCAGTGCAATCATGTGTGTGTGTGTGTGTGTGTGTGTGTGTGTGTGTGTGTGTGTGTTAATGCTTTACATTATTACAAACCCCACTTATGTGTAAGCCGGCAAACCTTAGCCTTACGGGGTGGAAAATCTCTTCCATTGCATCGTGAAGTAGTGTTTCCCAGCCCCCTGCCCTCCTCTCTCTCAGGAATCTTAGCAGATAGACTGGGGCCTGCTGCTCTCTTCCCAGATCCTCACCACCCCTCTTTCATTTTCTGTCTTCTTGTCTTCCTGGGATGTGTCTCATCTGCACAGACATTTGTCTTTGAGGGATTTTTTAAAAAAGAGTAATTAGAGTACAGCGTGGTGGCACAGGTTGTAATCCCAGCACTACAGGGGCAGAAAGAGGTTACGAGTTCAAGGGCAGCCTCAACCCTATAGTGACTTCAAGGCCAACCTCAACCCTATAGTGACTTCAAGGCCAGCTTATTCTGAGACAATTATCAAAACAAAACAAAGAGACTCCCCCCACTCCTGATATTTTAAATATAAAGAGAATACAGTCAGCCCTCTTTTTTCACACCTGCAGATTCAACCATTTAAAAAAAATGTTTGGAAAACAACTGCTCCTATACTGAACATGCCCAGGCTCCCCCTCCCTTCCATGAATCCCTAAGCAACACAGGACAGCAGCTCTGACAAACTCGGACATTTTGCTGGGCATTTAAAAAAATCCAGAGATGAGGTAGCTTAGTTGTCCCTCAGTATTCATTGGGACCCCTGAAGGGCCCCAAGTCTGCAGATTCTTCAGTCACATTCATAAAACTGTATGTTATTTACACAGCTAGAACCTTCTGACACAGATGGCTGAGTAGCACACTAAGCAAGATGATGACCAAGAGGAGACTCTCGTGTGTTTAGTACAGACAAACTTTTTTCCTGATATTTTTGATGCGTGGTTGGTTGACCCACAACAGCGGGACAAGGAGTACAGAAAACTGTCCCTGGAACACACATAGGTGTCACACAAACTAACAGTGGTTTAGAACCTGATCTGAGCTCTGTAGTTTTTGCTATTTGCAGGCCAAGGAAGCATTTCCCCTTCAACACCTGGGGACAATCCTAGCCCAGCAGAACCTGCTTAACCCAGAAGGTCGAATGGCTCAGTGGGCTACACTGGCCTGGGGGAGCTGTGCCTTTCCCTGTCTGCTGACTGATGGCTTCCTCCATCTTTTCCCAGTCTCACCCACATGTGTGCTTCCAAACAGCCTGAAGTTGCCAGAGTGTCCAGGTCACCTGCTCTGTGGGGAAGCCGCTGCCCCTCTCTTCCTGCGGGTCCCTTGCTTTACGGCATTCCTTCTCTGGACTTTGCTATTCTCACAGCCGTAGCCTCATTAGATGCTCACTGTGAACCAGGGAGGTGAGGGGGGCATGTTTTGAGACCTTCAGGTCCACTTGACAGATAAGAAAACTGAGGCTCAGATTGGCAGTTCCAAGGTAGACTCTGTGCTTCTATCTCCAACCCATAGTCCAGTACCTCTTCATCAGACTGTGTGCCAGCTTCTCCAAGCCTCATTGTTCCCAGCCCCTGGATGACAGTCATTAAGCTGACAGGTTCCCTGTGCAGTCTGAAGAGGGGGCATCCTTCCCAGGTACCCGGTGCACCTGCAGCTTCCTACTCCTCCCTCAGCCCTTGGTTGATACTGCACGTGCCCCCATCAGCCCTTTACGGAAGACCAACTTAGAGCAGAAAGGTCCATCCTTCTGTCGACTGTGCCTGTCATTTGACAGCTGTGGGGTGGTATCTCCTCCCTCAAGCCTCAGGGCTAGGGTCAGACAGAAGCCATGGTCCCTCTGCAGGTGGCAAAGGCTACATGACTCATCTCAGCTAGGTCTTTGTGAACTAGGGATCAGCCTGGGTCAAAAGGTTCACAGCACCCCCGTCTCCATTTCCAGGCATTGATAGACCCTGAGACAGCCAGAAATGATTCCAGGAATTGTCAAGTGTTCCATGGGGGCTCCACATCAGCCTCCACTGAGGACCACAGTTCTATGAACAGGGGTGTGCTCAGCCGAGATAGAGGAAAGGCTTGGCTAGCTAGGGTCAGAGCCACAGCTCAACCGAGACCCAGGGAAACCTTCATTATCTTTAGTTTGACCCAGGAGAAACTGTCTGGGTTCTCCATTAACTCTGCTAAAAAAGAAAAAAAAAATAGCCAAACAGCAGCTAAAGTGAGCAGCATTTTAGGGTTCCTGGAGTGGGGTCCCCAGCAGCTCCGTATTCACTCTCCATTCCAGACCCATGCTCACAGCCGTCGCCGATTCAGGCAACACACCATTGAGTATAATGCCTCCCGTTACTGCTCCCTCGTACGTCCTTCATTACCTCCAACAAGACGCTTCTAAGCTAATACAATTAGAAAGGCTTCATTCCATCAGTGATGTGGGCAGATGTCTCTAGTATTTCACCAGGACAGTTCTGAAATTGAAATGTGTCTCATCCCAGGCAAATCAGATCCTGTCATCTAGGCTCCCTCCCTCTTGGGCAGTCCTGGGGAGATGGGAGATAAGCTTCAAGGTTTATATGTCTGAGGGGAAGCCTGTGTTTGAAGGAAGATGAGGACCAAGTTTATCCAGAGCAGAGCAGTGACTCCCTTGGAAGGCAGTCCTTAATACCTGTGGGTTTAAGGTGGATATTTGAACCCTGAAGATAAAACAGAGAACTGCAGCCTGGGCATCCCCAAATGCTGCTCTCGGTAGTCAGGCTTTGGCAAGCTAGCTGCTGAAGAAGAGGACCCCATTCCCCAAGTGTCCCTATGGTGTCCTCCCAACCCGTCTTTAAAGATGACTGTCCCCCCCTTTCTTTATCCAGATCTTTTCCACCACTGAACTTGGCCATTGTAACTTCTAAGAGGCAGCTAAGTCATGTGACTCTTCTAGTCTTAAGACACTGGGTGGCCCCAACTTTCTCCTTCATACAAATCCTGCCAACTTTGGGCTCTGGCTGCCAGCTGTGTAGTTCCAGGTTTTGATGGGATGAGGTTGCAAACTAAGGTAATAGCATTGTGCACGGCATCAGTAATCAGGGACTGGGGAGATGGCTCAGTGGATAAAGTGTTTGCCACACAATCATGAGGACCTGAGTTCAGATCCCCAGAACCCACATAAAAAGCCAGGCATGTGCACATGCATCCATATACACAGAGAGACCTGAACAAGGCCAGGCATTCCAAGTGGAGCCCAGAGGCCTCGATTGGAGGTCAGGAGATCACACTGGCTAGGAGAGCTACTGGAGAAGAGGCTTTTGTATCTAACACCCCTTCCCCAAGTCATATTCAGAGTAACCCATCGTGAATGGGTGATATCAACTGATGCCTTTTTAAGGGGGACATCAGCCCCCTCCCTCAGGACAACCTTGTGATGGGAGAGACTGAGGCAGGATTCAAACCAAGAATCAAAGCATAATCAGAGCTGCCAACTGGCTGCATGCCCTGAGCCACTAATCTCTATCTGTAAAGTGGGGGTGTCTCCCTCACTGAGAGCAGTCAGAAATTAGGGGACCACTTTATTTATAGATGCCTCCATGAGGTTTGGCTCCCAGAATCCCCCCTCAGGGAACATGCTCATGTTCTCCTGTCCTCTTGCATCTTTTTTTTTTTTTTGAGAGGTGGGGGATGTTCTTGGACCTGGTAATTACATGCTTAGAGATGAAGGCTTTTCAAAAAACATCTTTCCCACCAATTTCAGCTGGAAACGTGCATAAAAAACAGGGATATTTTTATCTGCATTTTTCTAGTCTCCTTCCAGCAATGGCCAATTATGAGCACTACTTCAGTCAGTCGGTGCTGTAGAAATTGCTTCAGAGGGAAATTCACTTCCGGGGCCCATGGGGAGCCAGGACACAGACCTGGACACCTGGTCCTGGCTGCCGCAGCCAGACAAGTGGAGGTGGGGGAGGGTCCTTTTTATTTTTTCTCAGGCAAATCATGCTGATCCACCCCGTATCTCTCTTCCTCTGCAGCCCCAGGGAGCTACTGAGCTGACAAAGAGAAAAGGAAGTTTGTCCCTTGCCAGTCTGCTTTGCCAGGGTGCCGCCTAACTAAAGTGCCAGGAAAGGGGCACGGGGGATGTAAACTCAGCTCAGGCCTGTCATCTGCATCAGAGGGACTTGAGCAAGCTGGAGATGAAGACCCCTTAGTGGGACCCCTGTGTTTCCATGACAGCTGGATTAAAGTCCCCACCCCCCACCCCTGTGGATCTCACTTTCCAAACGATCTGTGGAGATTCGGTGACAATTCCTGGAGAGTAGCCGATTAGCATTATCTCCCTGTCCAACCTTGACCTGACCCGCCAGGCTACGGGAGGCACTGTTGGTACGAAGAGGAAAGGATAAACTTTGGAATCAGGCCAGCTTGACATGCTGATACACGGATAGAGAAACTGAGGCAAAGAGAGGGTAAGTATTGCCTCATGGCAAAAGATGGAATGGGCTTTGAGCTAGGCCTGGTTCTAAGAATTTCAAAGTCATTACCACTCTGATTTCACAATAAGCCCAAGTCAAAATGCCACCGGCACTATTCAT